AGGAACGTTTCAAATGTCAAAAAGTAATAAAAGAAACGGACTACCGATATCAAACGCCTTCTAGAACCCGAAATTGATATTCGCTTCCTCGACCAGATCGTTCGATGCGTTGGTCAAGACTGCAAGGACCAAACGCGCGAATTCGGATTCTGCGAGAAGATTGATATCAAGCAAAACTGGCGCTACCGCTACCTCTTTGACGCCGACGGCTCCGGCTTCTCAGGCCGTTTTATCCCTTTCCTACAGTCAAACTCTGTGGTCTTCAAAACTGCACTGTTCCGCGAATGGTACGAAGGCAGGCTAACGGCGTGGAAACACTTTGTTCCAGTTGACCTCCGGCTTCACGATCTCTTCAGCTCGTTGGCATACTTTGGTGGCTATGGAGTCGAGGAGCGAAACAAGAGGATGATGGAGGGTAGGGTGAAAGAAGCAGAGGCTATTGCGAGACAGGGTAAAGTGTGGACGGAGAAGGTGCTGAGGAAAGAGGACATGGAAGTGTACATGTTTCGGCTGCTTCTTGAGTGGGGTAGGCTTACGGATGACAGGAGGACGGAAGTTGGGTTTCGTATGGGGAAGAGGAGTGTGGAGCGGGATGGTGTGCAGGAGCTGTGACATGATGGCGGCGTGAGATGGCGGAGTCATGGATGTTAAGACTCAGGCTAGATGTTGAACCAGGTGTTTGCTTGTTTTTTTTTGGTGGGAAGGGCATAGCATGGCAGATAGCATAGCATGGCGTTTGACCGATTTCGAATTATCAAGGCAATTTTTTCTTTGGCCGAGAACCAGCGCGAAAGATGTGACGTGCTGTACAGCGAACCTTTGTGGCAGACTCAAGTACGTCAATGCGAGTGGGAAAGGCGCACGTGTGCTGTGGCTCTGTACGGCTTAGGCATTAATGTGATGGCTTGTTCTGATGAACAATTACATGCTTCAGATTGAATATGTCGCAATCATGCCGATTACATAACTAACGTCTTCCAATTGGGATGAACGAAACGCAAGTAAGTGTATATCATTTGCGTGCACGCGCTATTTAACAAGAACATTCTCCGCTCGCTGAATAGGGTATCTTGTACGCAATAAGAAAAACATGTTTCTGTCGTCCTCGTCCGTGCGCTCCTTGACCTGCCGTCGGTCATGAAGAGGCGCAATGTTTACGCAGAAAAAGTAATTTGGCTTCGCGAACCCATCAACGTTTCTTAGGGCGCGGGCTCTTGGAGCTCAGGGGACTCTTGGGTACAAGACTTTCGCCTTGTTGCTTCATCTTATCCATTGCAGCTTCCACTTGCTGCTGCTTCTTCGAGACATGCGAGTAGCGGTTTTCAACCTCCTCCTCAAATCCTTGTGCTAATTTTCGTTTCGTCTGTCTTGCTTCCTTCATTCTCTGGATAATGCTCTGGAATTGGTCTAGGAACCAATCGCCTGCATCCTCCCATTCAGTCGTTGGTAGCGAGGAGAAGAACTTGGCTTGTTTCTCTGCGTCCAGGTTTTTATGCACATACTCCAAACGCTCCGTCAATGGTTTCTGCAGAACGTCATCGCTGAGCACCGCAGCCTCAGCACGTGGATCCAGGTCGAAACTTTCTTTCTTCAAATCCTCGTAGCTCATACTAAGGAGCGCCTTGTGACCGTAATCATCATTGGGTCGAATAGAGGGTTCGCCTACCAGATCGTCTTCGTAGGGCCGACGGAGACTCCCTGGCCCTGCTCTGCCATTAGCAGGTGCATCCAGCTCCATCGGCTTCACTCTAGGGAGCTGCATACGGGGAGGGTTGGAAATGGCTCGCTGCATTGGTTGAAAGATCTGGGTGGCCTGACCGTATGCAGCCGGTCTGCTGTTGAGATGTATAGGGATAGCGGATGATGGCCCGACATTCGCTTGGGTGTAGGTAGGCGGCTGGTTAGAGAATAAAGGACCGACATTTTGTTGTACATTGGATACAACACGTTGGCTGCTCTGTGGAGCAGTGCGTTGCTGAGCACGCAGGTGGGATCCCTGTTGAAAGATACCTGGCGACTTTTGTGTGACTCCGACGGTGTTTGAGAGCTGTCCGTAGTGCCGAGGATGTTGAGCAATGGGACGCATGACTTGGGTTTTTACGCTTGTATGAGCCGGCACGACAGGCTCTTCATGAGCGTAGTCTTCGGATGAAACCACTTGATCTTCCCACTGGGTAGGCTGTCCGTCCGTAGTGGAAGGATACGAGTCTCCTTCCAGGGTTCGGAAGCCTTGCCGAATGCCCACAGATTGGAGAAACTTCACTTGCTCTGCGTACGTGTAATTCATCAAATTTTCCCTTTGTAAAATCTCAATCTCTTTCGCACCGAATTGATTTGGCTCTTCTTCGTCTGCCTCTTGCCCCTCATAGCCATCTTCATCAATACCTGAAGCTTCCTCAAGGTCGGCAGCCAGGTTTTGCTGCTCAGGTTTAGGGCCATCAGCCTGGTTTTTCTCTTCCTTGACCAAGGAAGCCTCCACCGAGGTGTCGAGGCTCTCTACGTCAGTACCGTAGACATCATGTTGCGGCCTTGGGACCTGACGCGTTGCCGAGCTATTTTGAGCAGTACCTATCCCACGAGCCGGGAGACCAGATGAAGGTTGAGTTTTCTGAGTAGCTTTCTGCTCCTTCAATGAGACCTTTGCGTTCGCAGCCATAGCTCGCCTTGCGGGATGACTTGTCGACTGATTGTTATGAGGACTAGCGCCCTGATGCCGAGCCACGATGAAGTCATTCATGTTGGACATGGTATGGTATCAGCAAGTTACGCATACAATTCCTTGCATACAACGCGTGCGAGGTAGTTGAAGCCGATGCGGTGAGAGACAAAACGGTGGATGAGAAGTCGCGAATGGGAAGGCGCGTTCCTGTTTGGCACTAACGCTTTTGGGCTGTGACCTCGGCTTAGCGCCGTGATGACGATATGTTATCTCCGTCAAACATGTCTCCTGTCAAGTCAGAGCGACGGCGTCCACAATCAAGCGGCACAGGTTCAAACTTCAAGAGCTTCTGTGATAGGATCATTTGCCAAGATGAGTGAATGCTATATTTACCGGCTCCCAAACGAGGCATGTGCACTTTGGGCAAATAACTCGCATTAATGTGGCTAACTACCAAATGATAGCTGCTCTTGCACCTCTTCACTCCCATTCCGACTCCCGACCTCCTGCCCTTGACCGCCATATCACGACGCATCTATAACCTCATCCTACGTATCCTCCATAATCGAATGGTCGCGGCTTCCGAGCTCCATAATTACACCTTGCTTCTTGAATGCTATCATCCGTCCGCGAAGCTCACCGAGCCAGCATACTTTTGTGCATATCGTGGCACTGATGGGCTAACACAATATGATAGAGATGGGGCTTGTGATGCAGGCGCGTTAGGGCGAATGCATGGTATGTACTCGCGCTTCCGTCCGCATCGCCGCGATCTCGAGCCCGGTGGGAGAAGGGTGATGGCACGACCAGGAGACATCCCAGGAAGTCGCACCTTTCCCGGGACGGTTCAGGATAAAGGCAGCGGCGACATTGTCAAGCAAATTCTTAATCTAGAGGCTCATGAGTTGTTCACACAACTGGTAGCCCAGACAAACCTTGTCAAAATTGCGCCACGCAGCGGTCTCTTCACCGCCTTCGTGGGTGTCGAGGAAGGCGTACTGCGCGTCTGGAGAGATTGGCTCAAAGATGCTGATACAAGATGTCGCGATCATCCCACAGCCACAGTACAGCAGCCCAACAAGGCAGAGGGCAAAGGTAAGGCAGTCGCAAAAGAGGACGTCGAGGGGGCTGCCGATCTGGATGATCCACAAATTCTATGGGTAAGCCCCGCGAAGAACACAGGCCTACGGTTCAACGTTAGGCCAAAGAAATTTCGGAGAGATGTGCCGATTCTCATCAGGAGCGACGAGGATTTGCCTGTGAGCTATGAAATCGAGTTTGTTGGTAAGCGCATAGGCCGACCACTGTGAACACTTACCGGCAATCCCGAACTAATGCGCATCATAGAACTCGTGATACGTACTTCCCATCTTTTGTTCACCCTTGAGGAATCCATGGTCCAGGAGGACAATTCCTCTGGTCAGGCAGTCGTCTTTGGTTCGTTCGGATAATATACACACAAATCAATCGAAAGTCAATGCAAGCAGTAGAGTGTTCAATTTGTATTGATTACCCCGTCTATCAACGTCTAACAGTATGGTTCTAAGAATTGCGTGCTGATTAAAGGGTCTAGCAAAAGGATGGCCAAAAAGAATGGCAAAAAGAAATGGTCTTCTGACCCGAGAGTGATTTGAACACCCAACCTTCAGGTTTCTAGATTCATGAGAACTGGAATCTGACGCGCTACCATTGCGCCATCGGGCCTGATTGGTTCGATTTGATGAGAAAACTGATCGCTATTGCATAAATATAGCTGCCGAAAACACAATTGTTCCCATCTTCCACAGGGAAAATGGTTAAACTGCCAAATTTGAAGCTAGCAGACAGACCCCACCTAGCCCGCTTCCCCCGCTATCAAGGAAAAACACACAACACTAGCAAGGAAGCAATTGCTTGTAACTCCAAAATCACCCAGATGTTTGGGGGCAGAGCATCAAATTGCTGATAACTAGGCACCTATGATAGGTAGGTAGATCTGCCACATCTCTCTCCCATTTGGAGCGAACATGGTATATTATATTAGATGCAAATCAGTCGTTATGAATGCAAAGGGTGCGAGGCTACCGTCAGTGTAGACAATCTTTGAGCGAGCGCTTCAAATTCATCTGTTCGTAACAACACCTTGATGAGTTTGCCATGGCCTATAATTTATACTTTTGACTTGTTCAATGCATTCTTATTACTTAAAAGCAGAATACTGCATCATGAAGAACGACTACATTTTATGTGCACACCTTTCTACTCGATAGGAAGCGATACTTACATTATGGCAGTAATTGAGGCTACACCATCAAGATAATATAACTTTATAACTAATGTGAAGTCTTGTGCATATAACATCAATGATATGAAGCAGAAAGGAGGGTTCGTGATACTCCCTTGGGGAGTATACCTTCATTCTTACAGCCTAGCCAACTGCGCACGGCACTTGTAGCAGATATTCAACAAACTTAACAACCTCTATCCATTCTTTGATCTTAAATAATATATTGCACATCTGAAAGCTTGTAATCTGCGTTCTTGATTAATAATATTCTGGACAATGCAGTATCCGACGATAAGGAGGGCACAAATGCAGTGTGCAATGTGATCGTATTGTACTAGGAGTATGGGAGCTATCTATGGGCAGGCACCGCTAAGAGGCTAGAGTTACACGTGACACAGGCATTCATGACACAGCAGACAAAACAGCTCAATGATGACGAGCCTTGCCTGCAAAAAAGGCTGGCCAAATTGCATCAAGTACCCTGTAAATATGATGTATTCCAGAATTATCGCCTTAATACATACAATCTGCTGCTGTTGTAGTTGTGCTTTGTTATCAATATAATTTTGTGGTTTAATTTTGTCCTATTGCTGCGCTCACCAACCTCTTCAATATTGATTCTAGATCCTGTGCCACCTTCGATGAAACATGGCGAAGGAGGTCCTAGTACCTACCAATACAGACAACATTGTGGAGCCTCTTAGGTCACAGATCGAACCAAACCAGGGGGGGGAAAAACTTCATCCGGCTGTTTTCGTCCCTACCACACTCTGCTAGGTATAATTTTAGATGAACCAGAGTTTACCAAGTAAATATCTTTGTATTTGAATTTTCCTGTGAGGTCGCGCCAGCTTCGTGAGGGTATAATGCACGGCAGTATATACCCATACTCTTCAAGTACCATGGTAGCTTAGATAAGACAGACACACATTAATAGATGCATACCATCAGTGTGTAGTAAACTGTCTCACCTGTATGCCTGTTAGGATGCAACAGTATCTGCTAAGCTAAGAATCTAATACGCTAAACTGACACGTGCATCAAGACACGCCAGATATATATGTTTTTATTTACTTAAGAACTTACTATATACTCTAGATACCTTGTACATCTATAAACGCATTTTAAATCCTATCCTTGCACAAAGGTACATAGAAATAGCAAAAAGACACAGAATGAAATGTAGGAGATGCAAAAAAGATGAAAAAAAAAGATGGTTTCTCCGCTGCCAGAATCGAACTAGCGACCTTTCGATAACAATTTATTTGATATTACAGTCGAACGTGATCAACCAACTACACCAAGCGGAGGAATGCAACTTTCGTTGCGCTTGTATTCAATATGGAAGAATGGGGATTTCTAAAATATATAACGTCCGTAAAGTTTGCTAGTAGTCACTTTAGGGAAGAATACCTCGGCACTGGGTTCAGGAACACCAAAACCATTTTAGATCGACGAACACCATAATATTTTGGGATCAACACAAACAAAGATTCTTTTGCCTTAATCATCTCCTAGGGAATTCAACTATCTGCAAAAGCTCTACAAATCTACAGGACTATAATCTCAAAAAGAAGAACATTCACCATCTTATCTTCCACATCTACCCCCCTTTCAACGCAACTCTAAACCCCCACCTCTCCCACGTCGCACCTAGGAATCCTACCGCCCACAGCACACCCACCCAGACAAACCCGCCTACGAATCTAATGAAGCGGAACGGCGCACTAATCGTGTTGAATGCCTCGCGCACGGCATCAAGCACAAACCACAATGCGATGATGGCGTAGATGACAAGGCCGATTTTACAAAGAACATATGCGAGGTGCTTGATTTGCGCGAAGCCGGTTTCGAATTTCCCTTCGGGGACGGAAGAGGCTATGGGCATTGTTTTGCGGGGTGATGGGGGTCGGGTCGCTGCTGGGCTGCGGAGGGTGGTGGGGATGGGGGGTGTGGCGTGGCGGTCGAAGGGACTAATGTATGTGGATAGTCTTGGAACAGCGGTTGTGGGTATGGTTCTTGGAGTGATATTCGACATGACTATGGGCGTGAGAGCGGGCTTGGGCTGTCGAGGGCCTGCAGGACGATGCCATGGCCAACGGGATCCCAGGCTTCGTTTTGGTAATGGCTTGTCTGCCCTTTCTGGCTTCTTTGTTGCCTTGGGGTTCTCCTGTTCCTTGTCGTTGCCTGAAGATGATGCTGCTCCCGCTGTCGTTCCAGCGACATCTCTGCTCCGGTACCCAAAGAGTGAGTCTCCTTCTACTGAAACTTGACGTGTGAAGTTTGGCATCGACTTGACTGGGCTCGGTGATCGGGAAGTAGGGGGCGAGAATGTTGATAACTGCTGACAGTAGAGCTGGTAGTTGCTTTCTACCTGTACACGCTCTCTTTCAGGGCTGAGTACTCTCGGTTTGATACGGACTCTGATAGGGCCGGGTTGTGTTGGAGAAGCTGTGGAGCTCGAAGCACCCGCCTCAGAGTCACTGCGATAGTGGAGCCGCGTTTTAGGAAAGGCAACATGGTTACTGGGTCCCAGTGGCTTGCGCTCAGTATACACTCGGGTAGATTGGCCCAAGGTCTGCGATGAAGTCTGAACATGATTCGGTTTTTCAGCTTGTCTCCAAGAGCATTGCGGTATCGGTGGGCTTATGGGGAACGATCCTGCGGGCTTAGGTGAACTTAAAGGTGGGCTATGCTCTCTGACAAAAGGTGCAGTCCGGTAAGTCACCTTCGGAGACGTATAATCGTAGGATAAAATCTTAGACGGGACCCGTACTCCCGTACAGTTGTTTCTTTCTCGTACCTGGCGAGCCTTCTCCTTGTACGTTTGATAAGCTTCTGCTTGTGCGGCGGGTGATGGCTTATTCCGAGAGGTAGCCCTGTCGATGATAGGCAATCGAGTCGTAGGCATATGGACTGCGAAAGCATCACTTTCGAAAGCCGCGTGCTCTTCGGTGGCATCAGTATGTATGGTAGCATTTCCTGTCTTTCTGCTGCTTGGTTCCCTCCGTGGATGGCGCGCACGCACTGGGATAGCAAAGATGTAGTTCTTCGTAGGACTATCAGACCGATCTGAAGATGTATTAGGAACTTGGGCAGAAATCGACGGCACCTCCTCCAAAGTCTTCGGAGTTCGTGCGAATGAATTGAAAGTAACGTGTTGCGTCTGTGACGTATTTTGATCTTTAGAGGGAGCAATCAGAGCAACTGGTAGTGCGACTGGCGTTGGGCTATGTCTGCGGAATAACATCTGATAGATTGTAGTAAGATGGCTTTCGGCGATATTGTATGCATAGAAAATTGCGTGGTGTAGAACGAGCACTGAGGTGATGTGCTACACCTCTTCACCGGATCATATGCAGTTTTCTTGTCCATGACCAATATTCATTTTCGTACCGAGTGGAGGCGGGAAGGAATGCGGTGTGGCTGGGCCAGTGATGGCTGAGAATGAGGAATGTGGTTGTGACGCACCAAACGCGCGAGTGCCAAAAACTCACTTGCGCACAACTTCAATCGGGTGGACAACGGCGCAAAACACGTAATGAAGTACCATGGACAAGAATAGTAAATTGAATTGGCACCTTCTGGGAATTGGCGTTGCTGAAGTCGATGCGTCCGAACATGTACGTGGTAGATGCCCTTAGCGTACATCCTCGTGCATCGTAGTCATTTGCGCGAACTCATGGCGTAATAAGATGAATGCAAGCAACGCGTTTCTTCTAGAAGATACAGTTGGCGTCATAACATGCCGAAGCATGCATGAATTGACTCGGATTCGGAGACCCTTGCAGTAGGTACAAAAAGTTACACGTTTAATATTTCCTAAATCAAGAATGTAAAATTTACACAAGAACCATATTCGTAGTATCGAAACCTCACAGAGATATCCTCCACGTATTTTCACACAACAAGGCTCAGAGAGTCGCCTGCTTTGCCCTGAGCCAAGCAATGAACTGCTTGATGGTGAATTCCTCAGGCAGAACCGCGTCAGAGCCAGCACCCGTGCCAGCGGAAGGGGCGGGAGCACTAGTTGCAGTTGAAGAAATGACGGGAGTTGGATCAGCGATAGGAGTGGGCGAAGCGATTGGAGTCTCGACGGCTGCGGCACTGGACGAAGCGATTGGAGTGTCTGGAGTTGCGGCAGGGGAAGATGCAACAAGAGTAGATGAAGCGACGAGGGAAATATTGGATGGAGTGGCAAAAGGTGTCTCAACAACAGCGGCAGCCTTGGTAGAAGAAGCGATGACACCGACAGAAGAGGCAGCTGGATTCTCCGCCTCAGCCGCGCCACCAGCAGTGTTAACAGAGGTAGTAAGGCCACCGCTCTCGACGTACACGCCGCTGAAGAACCAATCCTCAGCGCCAGGTGCGTCGTTCGAGCCAGGCAGACGGAGAACACCCAAATGCCAGTCAGCACCATTGGACTGTGTGCTTGCATCGAAAGGTCCAGCAGTTTTGGTCAAGGGAGCGCTGCCAGTGGAGTGCCAGAAGGTAACCGAGCCAGCGTCGAAGTCAATCTCATATGCAACGTTGTGCCATTCATCTGCTACCAGCTCGACGTCCCATTTGGACACACCACCAACATGCCACTGCAGTTTGGTATTGGAACTGCCGGATGCACCGTACTTGAGCTCAGTGAAGTGGCTCTCGAAGAAAGCAATTTGGTGCTCGTTGGTGGCAGTGGGTACATTGTCGGTCGAGGTCTTGACCGAGAAGTGGTAGTAGACCTTGCCCTTGTTGATGGCAGCGGTTGTCTGAGGGATAAGCTCAGTCCTTAACATAGTCTGACCATTCCACTTGGCTGTCTCATCAATGGTGATCCTGACACCCTGCTTCGAGCCAGTATCGGCGGGGTTCTTGTATGTGGCATCGAGATTGACGTATTTGTCGACGGTACCGGAACCATGGATGTAGTATTGGTAGGCACCCACTGGGTTGGAGAAAGACCACTTCTCGAGATCAACGCTGGAGGTCATGTCATTGAAGCGACCATCCCAAATGGTTGTGCCTTTGGTATCTTAGTAACCACAGCAGCTGTCAGTGTGATTCAAGCTCTTACCAGCCGACACAATACCAACGAGCGTGCTCAGAAGGGTAAACTTGGAAAACATCTTGGAGTCAAGGGCGAACAGAGACCAGCTGTGCGAAGAAAGCGAACGACAAGTAATGTACAAGAATGAAGGACAGTAGCAGGATAGTTGTAACGAAAAGAGGCAGCCTAGGACCTAAAGTACTGATCGAATGAGAAATGAGAAATGAGAGTACTTCTTTCTTGGGTTAGAATGATATCGGGTGGGCGCGGGCGCACATGGATCCACTAGCTTCACCCTGAGTCTGAATCTCCAGGAATTGGACTCATGGCTTGCAGAAGCACGGAGAACGCATCGTGGAATGATTGCGTGGTCATGCCATGTAGAAAGAAGCCTGTCGCTAACCGAACAGTTGCTTCCCAATACCAACGAACTGATTCAGGCGCATTTTCCAGTCACATTTGGTTTTGTCACTGGGCTACTTGCGCTCATGACAGCGGGAATGACAGAATATCGGATAGATGGACAGCTGTCAAAAAGTAGAAGCGGCTGGATGAAACGTTTTGGAAGTTCAGACTAAGCTTCTTTGTGGGTCAGTTCGGCCCACGATGTGCCTATTGAGGTCTGGTGCGGAAGGCTTGGTGATGAAGGATCGAGAGGCGAAGCCTGCTCATAAAACATTGTTTCATCGGGAGAACCACGTGATGGCAACGGTTGACGCTACGCAGAATTGCTACAAGTGCTGTTCAATAGGTGGAACTACTTGGACCGCTGCGAGGCGACGGTTGGAAGTGGAGGTGGTCAGAGTGGTGGATATTGTGAACAACTGCCGTTGGTATAACAGAGCAAGCCAACTGGTGGCCACTGGCTGTGCTACCGGTGGTAGGTACAGGAATGATGAGCATGTTAAACAAGAACCGGAGCTGTCTTCAGCATATACCTAAGACGGCCAGAATATATGGATTGAGGTTCGTTTTGAGACTGTGAAAACATGGTTGAGACTTGATAGAATATAGACCAAAGTGTGTGACAATACAATCGAGGATTCGTACTTAAGAGCAAGGTCAGCCTCGGTTGAACCCCGGGCAACTCCCGTAGTTACCGGTACGCCGTCTGTCTCCCCAACTTGGGCAGCCCCAAAAGTCGCGCGCCTATTGTCAGCCAGCTGCCACCCCAATTTAGCTGTGAAAAGACACCTCAACAAAAGACGCCCAACCACTCCACTACTTACCTACCCGCACACAGGCACACACACACCAGTAACGCGACTTTGGACGCGCGCTCTGTTCGCGCCTCCTCCTCTCACCATGGAAGCAGCGCAACCGGAAATCGACGACGCCCTCTACAACCTGCGCCTCTCCATCCAAGCCTCAAGAGCCCCCATCCTCACCACATCCCCCGATCCAACAACTACCGACTCGGTTTCCCAGCTCTCGCTCGCAACACACGTCTCCTTCAAGACGGATGATGGCGCACATCGCACATTCAGCCTCACGGCGCCCACGCGCTTTGCGCCCGACGGCAAGCCCATGGATCTGCGCAGCTGCTTCTTTGCATGGCAGAACAAGGACGCCTCTGTCACCGACTACTTTGCGGCCGTACAGGGTCTGAATGAAGAATTACCTAGCGGAGCGGGCGGCAGCGTGCAACATCTTACTTTTGCCCAGAAGATTGAGCTCATAGCCTGGCTGAGTGGAGAGACGGAGAGCAGCGACAGTATCGCGCCTATCGAGGGCGCCAGCGCACATGGAGCTGCTGGTGGTGCTGCCGCGGCCATTGCAGGCGGCAAGGGCGTGCCACTTGATCGGGGCGCTGGTGCGGTTGGAGGCAAGACGGTGGATGCACGACTCTTACAGATCTATGATGGGGAGAGGAAAATGGGCGATCACAACACCATTCTTCGAGGAACCAAAAACATTGTACGTCAATCAACCCATCACCTTCCCCCCCTCGTCTCATACACAAAATCCCTTCTCGAATGAAAACAAAAAGAATAGAAAGAACTGACAAGAAAACCCAGGACTTCTCCGCCTACCGTGAAATCGCCAAAAAGTTTATGCGCCACCGACCCTCGGACCCAAAAGCCAGCCTCGCACCCCCCATCACCGCCACCCTCCCCAAACGCCCCGCCAAACGCCTCGAACCCATCATCCTGCTCTCACCCTCGGCCTCGTCCCTCCTCCGGACAAGCAACGCCAAGCAATTCCTCGGCGACGGCGTCTTCGTACCCCCCAACGCCACAGACACAGCCTCGAGCACAAACATGCTGCGTATCCAGCGCGTCATACCCTCCATATCCTCGTCGCCTCTAACCTTTATCCTCGTCGATTCCACCGTCAGCTTCAAACCAACCTACTGGTCGCGCGTCGTCGCCATCTTCACCACGGGCCAGACGTGGCAGTTCAAGTCGTACAAGTACAATCAGCCGGCCGAGCTGTTTGCCCATTACCCGGGTATCTATGTCGGCTGGAGCAATGAGGAGCCGCCGGAGAATGTGGTGGCGTTAGGTCGGGGTGTCATGCCTGTGCGCGTGGACAAGTGGACGGGCAGTGAGAAGGGCAGGTGGAGGGATAGGGAGGTTGTGGAGAGGATTTGGGCGAGGATCGAGGAGGGCATGAGGAAGGGTGCTTGGACAAAGGATGGACCGGGTCTAGCGGGCGCGCAGCCGGGACGGTAGAGTCGTTGATGCATGCGTGACCAATAGGTTTGTGGAAATGGTTCAAGAGGCCCAAAGGCCATGTGCTGTGTTAAGACAAGGCGAGTGGGAGAGGGCGTTGGGGCGCTTGGGAAACTGTCGTTTGGAGGCAACTGCATAGACGCGGTATATATCCCTTGCCACTTCTGGCACAAGTGATCAATCTTAGAATCCTCTTGAGACAGGATTTCAGAGACATGGAATCAGTCACAAGAAGCCATCAAGACGACATATTGTTGACTATGAGGAGAAACAAAAGCACCCCCCCCCCATCGCCGAAACGATCATGAATTCGTGTTACACTAATCAAGCCAAGGAATATGATACCAACGGAAAAGGACCCTCTGAATAAATTCCTTTTCTTTTTATCCCAAAACTCTTTCTCCCACCAGACAAGCAGGCTCCTAATGCTCTACCACTCCAAAGGCTCCCCAATCTCCTCACCCCTGTTTGTCTTGGGCACCGCCTTGATGTCCGCCTTGACACGGACAGGCCCTTTGCCATGCCTGCTCAAGTATCCACTGCCATCCAGCCACGGCCAAAGCTGCGTCCTCTTCGCCTCATGCTGCGCAATCTTGTCCTCATTCGCCATGGTCAGACCGATATCGTCAAGCCCGTTGACCAGGCAGTGTTTCCTAAATTGCTCAACCTCGAACTGAGCAAGTTCCTTGCCGTCCGCATCACGGATGGTTTGGTTGGGCAGATCGACTTCGATCTCACGGCCGGCGCTTGCTTCGGCCGCAATGATGGCCAGCGCGGCCGAGTCGGTGATGCGGAGAGGCAGCATACCGTTCTTAAACGTGTTGTTGAAGAAGATGTCGCCAAACGAGGGTGCGATGATGCATTTGATGCCAAAATCCAAGAGGGCCCAAGGCGCGTGCTCTCTACTCGATCCACAGCCAAAGTTTGGGCCAGTGGATACGAGGATCTTCGCATTCCGGAAGGGTTCCTTGTTGAGCACAAAGTCTGGGTTTTCTGCCCCCGTAACCGGATCGAAGCGCCAGGCGTAGAAGAGTGCGGAGCCCAGACCAGACCGCTTGATAGTCTTGAGAAATTGCTTGGGAATGATGGCGTCCGTGTCGATATTGGCAATGTCCATGGGCGCTGCGATACCCCGGAGCGTTTCGAATTTGGGCATGCCGGCGGTGGCGCCCTTGGTGGTGCTGTTGCTGGCCGTGTGTTGTTCCGAGGCGGCGGGGAGGTCCATGATGCGGTCAATCTCTTCGTCACTACCAACTTCTTCTTGGTGAGCATCGAGCTCGATCTTGGGGGAGCCCTTTGCAGGGGCAGAGGAGGGGGGAGCTAGTTTGCGGACGTCGGCGAGATTGCCTACGAGGGCGGCAGCAGCAGCCATAGCGGGTGACATGAGATGGGTACGTCCACCTGCACCTTGTCGTCCTTCGAAATTGCGGTTCGAGGTCGAGGCACAACGCTCGCCAGGCGAGAGGATATCCGGGTTCATTCCTAGACACATGGAGCAACCTGCTTCTCTCCATTCGAAGCCAGCGTCGGTGAAGATCTTGTCGAGCCCTTCCTTTTCTGCTTGTCGCTTTACAAGTCCTGATCCGGGGACAATCATGGCACGCTTGATGTTGGAAGCAATGTGTTTACCCTCTACGATTCGCGCGGCCGATCTCAGATCCTCGATACGGGAGTTTGTGCAAGATCCAATAAAGACCTTGTCGACTTGGATCTCTTGCATTGGTGTGCCAGCCGTCAAACCCATGTACTTGAGGGCTCGCTCACAGGCGTTCTTCTTGGTCTCATCCTCAAAGTCGTCTGGCCCAGGGACTACACCGGTGATGGGTACAACGTCTTGAGGCGAAGTTCCCCAAGAAACAGTTGGAGTAATGTCCTTTGCATCGATGTGCACCTCGATGTCGAATTTTGCGCCTTCGTCTGACTTCAGACCAAGCCAGTAGCTGCAGGCCTTCTTCCACTCTGGGCTGTCAACCTTGGGGGCCAGCGGTCGTCCCTTGAGGTAGTCGATCGTCGTCTGATCCGGAGCAATCATTCCAGCTCTCGCACCAGCCTCAATGGCCATGTTGCACATGGACATGCGGGCCTCCATACTCAAGCCGCGGATAGCCGACCCGCAAAATTCGATGACTGCTCCGGTTCCTCCAGCCGTGCCAATCTGGCCGATGACGTACAAGATGATATCTTTGCTGCCGACACCGGGGCCAAGCTCGCCGTCCACCTGCACCTTCATGTTCTTGCTTCGTTGTGTGATGATGGTCTGCGTGGCTAGGACGTGCTCAACCTCGCTGGTGCCAATACCAAAGGCCAAAGAACCAAAGGCGCCATGTGTGGATGTGTGACTGTCACCGCATACGACAGTTGTGCCTGGAAGGGTGAAACCCTGCTCGGGTCCAATGATGTGCACGATACCTTGCCTCTTGTCGTCGAGGCCAAAGTAAGTGAGGTCGAAGGCCTTGACATTCTCCTCGAGGGTCATGCATTGCAACCGCGAGTCGGTCTCTTCGATGAATTTCTCGGTTGTGGTGAGGTTTTTTCGCGATGCAGTGGGGATGTTCTGGCATGTGTTAGCGGGTTCATTGGTAGATTATGATGGTGTCTTGTCAACACATACGTGGTCAACTGTAGCAAGTGTGCAGTCTGGTCTTCGTACTCTGCGGTCAGCGTTGCGGAGACCCTCGAAAGCTTGCTGTATTTGCGTTAGCATTTTGTTCGCATAAGCACAGTTGTAGTCTTCCTTACTGGTGATGTCACTTCGTGGACAAGATGTCTGTCTATAACCAAACAGTCGTCAGTAGAGCGCACAAGAGAGGTCAGAGATTGATCAAGCCATACCAATGTAGAGCAAGATGGTGCCATCCTCCTTCTCCTCGACAATATGGTCTTCGAGCACCTTGTCATACAGGGTCTGCGGGGGTTTCACAGCAGACGGCATTGTGAAGACGACTGAATGTGGGTGAGGTCGAGGCTGAGGTTGAGGTGGTACAAGATTTGTCAAAGACCAGGGGGACGCTTGTGTAAATGAACGCGGCAGCCAGATCGAAGAGAAGAAGATGTGTCAAGTCACGACAGCAAGACCGGAGGCGACTATATATGAATCACTGCCGGCCGGACCAGACTGCAAATCATTTGACTGGAGGCAAACGAGGGCACAAAATATCACAAGGGCCGATGTTCGGCGCGTCTTGTCGCAGCACCGGTACGGCCTCACCGAATCACAAAGAGCCGATTATGACCGACCGCAACTAAGTTAGCCAGCTCAGCTGGAGAGCAAGGCCGAAGAGGATGGATTTGTGAGCAGGCAGTCAAGTCAGCATGAGACTGGATGAGGTTCACGGCTAAGAGAGATGGCAGCGCTGAGTGATGTGTGACATGTGGCCGTGATATATCTGGGATCAAAGTATCGCGAGACTGAAGGTTTAGGTAGAAGAGCATAGTAGATTCAAACCGGGGGATCCCCGACTGCTAATGTG